GGCTGGGGATTCGAACCCGCCACCTTAGGTGTACGTGGCTGGCGCCTTAGCTGGTTGAGCCATAGGCGCCGAGCCTGGGCTCTGAGCTCTTGAGGGGAGCGTGTGCTAAGTCAGGGGTGCTAGCAGAGGAAGTGACTGGATCTGGGAGGTGAGGACCTGCCAGTGGGCCAGCTGAGCCGATCCCCACCTTCTGGACTTCAAGAAAATCATCCCTGCTTGGGATAAACTCCTGAGAGCAGGAAGCTAAACCTCTATAGCCACTTTACTTATTCTTTTACAGCCTTTTGGAAGCAGGATGACCTCCTTTTTCTACTATAACTTCAGAAAAAATTACACAGAGAAATTCTGACAAAAGTTTTACAAATTCCCCATGGCTGGAATGGCCCTCCCATAGTTGATTAAGCCCGAATAGCAATGCTGTTCTGTTTCTATTTTCCTTATGTTCCCTTTCTCCCAGTTTTCCTTTCAACACCAAGAATTATTTCCAGAATAAAGGAGTGGGCTGGAACAAGCTCACTTTTAGGACTACTCCAAGTATAGTCAGAGGTGAATTCTGATCTCTGAATTTGTTATGTTCTAGAAGCCCCAAGGGCTTTTTCTAGGTGGGGCAAAGGCTCACTGGTCCTCCCGGAGCTGTGCCAATTGGGGTTCCCTTGCTGGGACCCTCCCTACAGAGCCCAGACACCCAGGGCTCAGCAGGCCTCCCTGTCTGCCCTTCCCTCAAGTCAGGGTTTATTTTTTACCACGTCTTTCAAAACTCACATGCCACTGATCCCAAAGGACACCAGAAATGCCTTTGGAACTTGCAGATGCCAGGAGACCATCTGGGCTGATAAAGCCATTATGGCCGAGGTCAGAGGGGGCAGGCGAGGGGACAGGTGCTCCCCATGCACACAACTCTGGGCAAATGCCTCATTTTCCTCTCTTCTATCTACAAACAGGGTATCTCTGGGCTTTTCTCCTGGAACACGCTCTTCATGCCTCCTCCTTATCCGGAAAACTAGGATAACCCTGGTTACCTTGAGTTCCCTCAGTCCCAACAATGTAGTTAAGAGGTCTCTTTCCCACCACTGCTGGCTATGCCTGAGCCCACACTAAAAGGAAGGAAAAGTCTATGGCTCCAAGGAACACAGGTCTCTACTCCTGAGTGTTCTGGAGGGCAGTGACAAAAAGGGCTCCCTCAGAACCAGCCCCATTTAACATCTCTGTTCCACCTCAAGTTTCTTCCACTAAAAACTGTTATGGAGAGGAGGAAGGAAGCACCCCTCCCAGGCATTACCTTGCCGCCATCACTCCCAACTTCCGGCAAGTATTCTCAGGTGGGGTAAGAACTGGGTGAGAAATCCCACCCAGCACTTTGGAGGAGCCTGGAAGGAGCCCGTTGCTCCCGCCGTGTCCTGTGTAAGTCAGCTATGACTGCTGAATCACTGCAGACTCCCTCTCCACATTCTCTACCTCAGTTTCCTCCTCACCCAACCATTCCTCACCCTGCTGCACCCTGGCTCCACACTGCTGCCCAGCTGTTGAAGATAACTGATGTCTGTGTATCTGACTGTACCTCTGCAATGCCTGTCACTACAGCCTCTTCGTCCTTCTTGAGACTCCTGCCTCCCATGGTTTACCTCCTACCTCTCTGGACAGTCCTTCTTAGTCTCCATCATGGCTCTTCCTCAAATGCCAATATTCTCTGGAGTTCCAGCTTCAGCCCTTGCATGTTTCTTGTGGGACTACCACTCAGGACTTTTGGGCCACCTCTAGAGTGCCTCCCAAATGATCTCTCCGTCTCCACATTGCCTCTTCCCCTCTGCTGTGTGCCCTCTGCTCGAAGCACTTCAGGCACCCCACTAACAGTGCAGAAACTGCTCCCCTCTGCTCCCACCAAGTCCTACCTCTATTCTGCGTCCAGAGTGGCACAAGTCACGCCACAGGCACCCAAGCCTGAGAGTCCGTCTGGAGCCTTCACTCACTCCTACCTCCCACCTTCAGTAAGGCACTTGTGGCTTTCACTTCCTTAACATCTTATCCTGGCCCCTTTCTCGCCAACTCCTCCTGCAAATGTCTCATTTGTTTAAGACCCTTCCCTTCTGTCCTGAATCACATCAGACTAGGTAGGGTCCACGCCTCCAGGCTGTGCCCCTCCCAACCCAATATAACCCACTACACTGCCACTGGGGTATTCTAGCAATGCACATAGGGCTGTGTTACCACCAGCTTCACTACTCTCTGAGGGTTCCTTGTTGCCCAAATGAGGCAACAGCTACTAAGGCTAGTCTCTGCCCACCTCCAGTCTCACCTCTCTCCAGTCCCCCAGCTCCTGTCTGTCCCCAGCACATGACAGGCCTAGAGATCTGGCTCTACAGAACTGTCTATGCTGGCAGCTCTACATCCCCCTCCCTCCATGAAGACTGAGCTCAGGAACAGCTTCCTGGGGGGGTCCTTTCCTGGTCTCCTCTCCCCACTATAGCACAGTGTTCATCAGCCCTGCCCTCCTTCTGTGCTCCCATCTATCTTGGCACACTCCAGTTACTGTACCAGCCACCCACATTGCCTCCCCACTTTGTGTGGGAAGTCCTTGAAGGCAAGAACTCTATTTTTTCTCTCTTGGTTTCTGTGGCACTAAACATAGTGCTCAGCACATGGAGGTGAGGACCACAGGGATGCGTAGGATGAACAGATGAGTGGCTGTAGCCTTCAATGGTTTCCCAGACGAACAACGAGCCTGAATGCCCTCCAGAGGAAATAATGCCTCCACTGGGTTAGAACAATGGCCTACATGGGACACGTAGAAAGTTCTAGAAGAAGGCAGCTGAATTTTATTTATTTTGAGATACAGTGTCACTCTATTGCCCTGGCAATGGAGTCATAGCATCTATTGCCCTGCCATAGTGTCGTGGCATCATAGCTTGCAGCAACCTCAAACTCCTGAGCTTAAATGATCCTCTTGCCTCAGTCGCCCAAGTAGCTGGGATTATAGGTCCCACCAGCATGCCTGACTAATTTTTCTAAATTTTTTTTTTTTCTGAGACAGAGTCTCACTATGTCACCCTCAGTAGAGTGCTGTGAAGTCACAGCTCACAGCAATCTCAAACTCTTGGGCTTAAGAGTGATTCTCTTGCCTCAGCTTCCCAAGTAGTTGGAACTACAGGTGCCCACCACAATGCCCGGCTACTTTTTTGTTGCAGTTATCATTGGTGTGTAGCAGGCCCAGACCAGGTTAGAACCGCCAGCCCTAGTGTATGTGGCTGGTGCCCTAGCTGCTGAGCTACAGGCACCAAGCCTAATTTTTCTATTTTTAGTAGAGACAGGGTCTTGCTCTTGCTCAGGCTTGTCTCAAACTCCTGAGCTCAAGCAATCCACCTGCTTCAGCCACCCAAAGTGCTAGGATTACAGGCGTGAGCCACCTCGCCTGGCCAGGCTGAACTTTTTTTTTTTTTTTTTTTGAGACAGAGCCTCAAGCTGTCCCCCTGGGTAGAGTGCCGTGGCATTACAGCTCATAGCAACCTCCAACTCCTGGGCTCAAGCGAGTCTCCTGCCTCTGCCTCCCAAGTAGCTGGGACCACAGGCGCCCGCCACAACGCCCGGCTATTTTTTGGTTGCAGCCATCGTTGTTTGGCAGGTCCGGGCTGGGGATTCGAACCCGCCACCTTAGGTGTACGTGGCTGGCGCCTTAGCCGGTTGAGCTATAGGCGCCGAGCCCAGGCTGAACTTTTTAAAAGAACTCGTTTTGATGGAAATCACTGGATTACAACTGTCATAGTTATCTAAATTTGGCCATAGAGAACCATACTGTTTACATGCCTGATACAGATAAAATGCTGTGACTGCTTAGAAAGCTCAGGGAAGCTGAACCCTGAGTAAGTTGGGTGGCCAGAGACTGGGTCCACTTTGTTTGCATATTCAAGCTCTTGGGACACAACCATAAATGAGGATGTTGGTACAAAATGGTTGGTTAGACTGTTTTGACGACTGTGGCATTGGGGGGCTCGACTCCGAAGACATTTAGAAAGCAATGCTATTGGTGATGGTGTTACTAGGAGAGGGCTGGGCTCCTCAACAGCAAGAAACATGCCCCCACCCAGCCCCACCAGGCAGCTTGGCCAGTGACTGCGCACAGCTGAGTAGTCCAGGAACATAGAAACTCCTCAATGCCAGCCAAGGAGCCTCTCCTGACTTCAGGAAGACCTAGCACTGCCTATTTCTATACAGAACAGCAAAGGTTTACCTATTGCCATCCCACTGCCCCTTTAGGAAGGACAGGGAGAGTCAGGAAAGGGAAGGGTCCAGTTCATGGGTCTAGGTATTTTAGAAGCTTTAGGGGAAGATGCAAACAGTGCAGCAAGGCCTTTTATAAACCCAATTCAAACATGTGTGTTGCTAAATGAATTACTGCTAAACTAGAAGGCCTTCTATTGTAGATTTGGCCTGAATATTTAGCTAGTTTTCCTTCCATTGTTATTCTCTGTATGTGGCTGATATAAAAGTAACTTTTCTCGCACAGATGGATTTGTTTTTCTGGGATAAGCCTGAGAGGCAAAGTCTCCTTTTGAAAGCTACCTTGTCTACCTCCTACCTGGGTCACATGGAGGTAGAGCTGACCTCAAGCAAGGGTCCAACGACTCTAACTTGAAGCATCATCAAGCTGGTGATGGCAGCAGGAAGAGGCTGGCTGCATCTCAGACAGGGAGGAAGGGTAAGCTTTGCCCCTGAGCACTCGAAGGAGCAGGGAGGAAACAGCTATTCCCAGAAGCTGGGAGTAGAGCAACCACAACATCACAGGACAGGAAGGCCAAGGACAGTGGGATTTAACCCACAAGAGGGGTCATTTCAAGAATGCCAATGCAGACATTACTTGTATCTCCTTTCAAAGCCATTCTCAGAGGTATTAGATCAGCAAAGTCAATGAAACAAAGACAGAGGTGACCGACATGAAATGCAGATAATGGAGATGAGCTTTGTTAGAACACAGGTTCATGAACTGCTTAGAAATGGCCAGTGAAATGCACGATGCAGGGGTGGCATGTGTGTGGCCCCGGGGTGCGGCAGGGTCAGCAGAATAATCACAAGGATGGGAAGAGAGAAGCCCAGATAAACATGAAGGCAAAGCCAGCTTTGGTCTTACCACTGTGTCCTCGGTAGGCTTGAAAACACAAATTTACACTTAGTGGGAAGCCATGCCATATATATGGTTACAAGTTATGAGCACAAGGCTACTGAATGCTTCTTTGGGAGGACTGTTAATGTTAAATGGGGCTAACATGTTGAAGGCAGGCTTCCCCGGCACACACAAAGCAAAATGAGCAGGAATTTAGAGCATTAAGATACACATTTTTAAAAGGAACCCCAACCCTTACAATTTCTTTTCTGAAAAACCATTTGCATAGTCAAAAGTGGTTAGACACACTGAAAAGTCCCAACTTGGGTCCTCAACTATTCTATTTGCTTTAAAAAGAACAAAATGAACAGATGAGATTTAATCGTTTGGTTCAGAGGCTTTGTGCTATAAGCAGTTAGGTAAGGAGAGTGGATTTTTGAGAACTTGATGCTGGTGTGTTAAGGAAAAGGTTAACCTGGCCTGACAATTTTTCATTTTCTCTGTAAAAAGTAGGCAGATAACATTTAAAAGGTCCAAACAAAATATATGCAACAAGAACGCATCAGTGGGAAAGGACTTCCAAAGCATCAGTCAGTAATGTAGTTGGAACCACTCCCAAAAGGACCAAGGGACGAAGAAGCTATCCTTAATGGTCTGTGTTCAGGCATAAGAGCTGGGGTATGGAGACCTCTCTGCCTCAGGCTGAGGAGAGCAGTCTGTAAATGAGATCTGTGTGCAGAGCACAGCAGGCAACTCAGAATCCAAGAACAGAGCACAACGGCTCTAGGATCTGTGGACAACGCCTGGGGTCTGGAGTAGGGGCCCATGGGAGAAAGCTGTGGTGCCCTCAGAAGTCCAGAAGGCAGGGTGGTGATTAATTAGTATTTTTATTTTTCAAGGAGCAGACTGAGTGAGGACTCTTAGGTCTACAAGGCTAGAGCTGACCTGAGGTGGAAGGAGAGGAGGTCCCATCACTGGATCTTACCTCTTCTGCGTCCTCTGAGTGCGTGGAGAGCTGGTCATGCTGAATAATCTCAGCATCCTCCTCTGTCGGTCCGTTGCCCACCCTGATCCCACCAAAGTTGAGAGTTCCCTACACAGATGAACAGAAAGAGTAGAATTTGCCTGGGCTTTAATGTGGCATTCTGTGAGGTGGGAAGGGCGACGGTTAGTACATACAAACCTCAGAAAAGCATATATTCTAACGACAAAAACAAAACCCACTGATGGAACAGCTAAGTAAAAACAACTGTTCCCACCCAACTGACACCTCCCCAGCCCCAGCCCCAGCCTACATTCCCACCTCACCCTACTTTACAGGAAATATACAGCTTTGCCTGCTGCACCAAGAGGCACCAACCTTGCCCTGGTCAAGCCGACTGAGAATCCTGCTTGAATGAAAACGGTAACATGCAAAGACTCTCATCACAAGTGCTATCTACCTGGAAAGGCTGCAAAAGTCTAAGCTTTTCTGGAACTAAAGACTAGACTTTCTAAAGGGGAGGGGAGGGAGCCAAACAACACATGATTGTACCCTGGTCTGATAAGCTTTCAATAGGAACTCAGAAATTCCAGCAACCTCTCCCAGAAATGTACTAGGTCTCTGCCAAGGAACAAAGGACTTCTCAGATCAGGGGAGGAAAAATGTAAGTTCACTTGCGGCTAGAGAACACTGAGTTTTTTAAAAAAGCAGGGGGCTGCTGTCCTTCAGTGAAGAATTCTACAGTATTAAGACAATTCTTCTATAGGCATGTGGGCAGAGACCAACTGGGCATTTGCTGTTTCTTATTTCACAGGTACAGTCTGCAGCAGGGTCTCCATAAACAGAATGTTAAAGTCAACTTCATTTGAAAAAAACTGGGTTTACTGGGGCAAAAGAACAGAAGCCAGACAGAACTAGGTTAAGTCTGACAGATACCAATTAGTGCTAATCTGCCATAGCATGAAAAGAAACTTTAAGTAATAGCCCCTAGAACCACTTCATGTGGTTTCTGTCCACAGAGCCAAACGAGGCAAGAATTCTAGGACAACTCTCCCACAAAATGGCCTCTGGACAGCAGCACAAACAACGCACAAGCAGATCTGGTCAACTTTCCTGTGCTCCCCTATCCCCAGCTTCACCTTTTGGTGTATTTCTTTTACCACAGCTCTCGCCACAGCCACAGCTTACTGACCGGCTCAGACCTCAGCGTTTGCATAAATCCTCCCTCCTCCGCTAGCAGTGGTTCTCACATGGTCAGGGAACCAGCTGCATTAGAATCACCTTGAAAGCTGCATTTTAAATAGAGAGTCTCAAATACTATTCCCAGAAACTGTAAATTTAGTAGGTCTGGGGTGGGGCCCAGGAAATTTGTATTTAAAAAATATTTCCCCAAGTACAAATTGCATAAACACTGTGAAGGGTCTATCAAAATTTTAAATGCATGAACCTTTTGGGATTCAGCAACCCAAAGGCTGCAGCATCAAGATATATGGACAAGATACTCCCTGCATTACTGGGTTAGTGGTTTTTTTTTTTTTTTTTTTTGAGACAGAGTCTCACTCTGTCATCCTGGATAGAGTACTGTGGTGCCATTTTAGCTCACAGCAACCTCAGACTCCTGGGCTCAAGTGATCCTCTTGCCTCAGCCTCCAGAGTAGCTGGGATTATAGGCACCTGACACAACACCTGACTAATTTTTCTATTTTTAGTTGAGACGGAGTCTCATTCTTGCTCAAGCTGATCTCAAACTCTTGAGTTCAAGTGATCCACCTGCTCACCCTCCCAGAGTGTTAGGATTACAGGCATGAGCCACCATGCTCAGCCTGTGTTGCTGTTTGTAACAGCAAAGAATTGAGAACCAACAGATCCATCAGGGAGAGAGTGATTACATAATTTTGGTATATCCAATGGTGTATTTTATGGTAGATATGCTAACATAAAAAAGAGGAATTATTACTATGAAACAATCTTTAAGATACACTAAATTTTAGAAAACTGAATAAATCAAAGGACAGAAGAATGCTACAGTTTAAAACACAATTCCTAATGTGTGTGTGTCTCTCTCCACACACATTCTCTCTCTTACTCACTCAAGAGGTGAAAGGCAGGTACATACTGGAGGCAACCCCCCTATTAATGTACCCTTGAGGAGAAATGCAGTGAGGGTAGGAGGGTTTCTTCTACTTAGTAACTATGTACATTCTCTAGCCAAGTGCTTTATTTTCTTAACAAGCATTTTAATTCTTAGGGGATTGTCTGGCCATGAAATTATGGGCGACTTTTATTTCTTCCTCCCCTTATCTGTCCTTCTTTTTCTTTTTTTTTTGCATTTTTTAGCTAGGGCTGGACTCAAACCCGCCACCCTTGGCATATGGGGCCAGCGCCTTACTCCTTGAGCCACAGGCGCCGCCACTGTCTTTCTTTTTTTTTTTTTTTTGAGACAGAGACTCACTTTGTCACCCTTGGTAGAGTGCTATGGCATCACAGCTCACAGCAACCTCCAACTCCTGGGCTTAGGTGATTCTCTTGCCTCAGCCTCTGGCTGGGACTACAGGTGTCCACCACAACACGCAGCTAATTTTTGTTGCAGTTTGGCTGGGGCCAGGTTAGAACCTGCCACTCTTGGTATATGGGGTTGGTGCCCTACTCACTGAGTCACAGGCGCTGCCCTATTTTAATACGCTAAGAAACAAATTTAAGGTTCATCAGGTGACTCTATGTGTAGTCAGATTTGGGAACCACTGAAGTCTGGGCACCTCCAGGTCATGCACATGTTATGCCTGACAGCCCTCTCACAAGGTGGACTGAAAGTGCAACAGAGGGCACTGTATCCTGGGCTGGGAAGGACAGAGGTGGAAGGCTTCAGGATTCAAGGTACCAAAGCAGAAGGCTATTTCCGAAGCTTTCCCCAACTAGCAGGAACAGTGAGACGCAGATAGGTTTAAATCTTCCAGCCAGACACAAGTATCCCTTCAGAACACAGGGAATGAGAATTACAGGAAGAGATGAGAGACACACATTAGCAGAAGAAAAGAAAAATTAAGCTATAACATACTGCTTATAGACGAGCTAAAGAACAAAGAACAGAACAATAACAGATCAGTGTTTACATCCTCAGCAAAAAACAGGGTCAAGAATCCAGGGCCCTTCTTATAGAGTGATCACACTAATACCTTCAGTGGGGTAAGAAGACCCTATGAATGTGCAGGTTCCTACACTGAGGACTTTTAATTTGGAATTCATTATTTGGAATTCATCACAGAAGAGACTGCTAGACTTAAAAGCACCAAGATCTTCTCAGATGCACACCATTTACATACATATGTATATGCTAAGATTAGTAAAAGGAAGAGGTGACGTGGAAAGAACATCAATATTAGGTAGCATGTGTTCTAAGAGTTTTTTTAATTTCTCATAGGGAAGTCCCTACTTGAAAATAATTTTAAGTAGTAAGATTAAAATTTCTTCTACCCAAAATATCAGCGTTTTTTAGACAGTTCTAAAAGAATAATTGTAAGCAATTTTTTAAGTTTAAAATAATCTCTACACCTAAGGAAGGAAATGGTTACATATTTAAGTTTAATTATTTTATTTAATATTCCATTTTCTTTAAAGGAGCATATGCTACCAGAACGTAGAAGTACATGAGTAATCACTATTGGTGAGATGTAAAACATCCTACAGATTCATAACCTAGAATCTATCAGGCTAATATGACATTAATGCATTATAAGATTTTGATTAAAGGATGTTTTTAAGGATAAATATTCAAATGCTTAACATTCGAAGTGCCATTACTAAATCACAAGCTGGTATCAGAAAAGGGAAAATCAAGACAGAAGATGACTTTGGTAATTACACCAGATGTACAGTACACATAAGACACATGGGAGAATGGAGGTCTCACTAGAGCAGCTGGGAACAGAAGCTGAGCCTCTAAGAAAAAAGTAAACATGTATAGACTTTCCCTTTTAAGAGGCTAAGTTATTGCTAATTAAAAAGGACTAAGTGTCCAAGTATCATGCTAAAATAGAACTCTAAAGGGCAAGGAAATCAATTCAAGAATCACCTTTCTGCTAGAATTGCCATCTTGAATTAAGATGATGGGACTCAGAGAGGGTACAACAGCCACTTTGTTCCCATGGACACGACTGTACTTAACATACTTGAAAAGAAACTTAGGAGACCAATGGTAAAGGTGATACCAGAATCTATTCTCAAGAGGTGGAAATCTTTTCTGTCATCATCTCAATGAGTAACAAGGACAAAATTCCCAAGAGCACACATGTCCCATGCTCTCAATATAGTTAAAAGAATTCTGCTGCACTGTTTGCCACCTCTTTAAACAAAATGTGATGGTTTGTTGTTTTAATTCACTCACTGTTGCAGCCGCTGCTGCCTCTACTCCCTGTTGGCTCGGGGTTGGGCTGACTGGGGCCTCCACAGGTTGCCCTTCCTGATAGTGAATGGAAGAAAAGAAGAAGAGAGAAGAAAACAAAAGAGGGAGGGAGTGAAGGGGAGACGAATGGAGGGTACATGGAAGGATGAAGATGGTCAGAAAAGGGAGAAGGAGGGTCTTGTAACTCAGACGCTCTCCAATAGAAGTAATAACCTAGCAGCCATATGGGAGTCATGCAATAAGATCTTATGGGTTTTTCAGTGAGGGTAGTGAGTTACCTGTGGATAGCTAGAAATTATGTATAATACTGAACATTTGGCAAAATTTAAATTTGGTTGTATAGAATTCATGTGCACACATATAGTACATAAATACATGAATGCATGCTGCTTTTTAAAAAGGAAAAAAAATCCATATGTTTTAAGCCAAACCTTTCTCCTGGATATTTTGGTCAGTGAAAGACAGTATCACAGTATCATTTTAAAAGAAAATGACTCAGTGTCAGTGCTGTGGTTGTCCAGGCAAACCACATGAATAGGTTCACTGTCTGCAGCTCTTGCTGTCTTGCTTTGGCTAATGCTGCATCTAGACAGGCCCAGACCTGGATTCTGCTGAGCACAGCATGAGCAAAGCATGACCAGGAAAGGTAAAAACTTGTGACTTGTTCTCTCTACCCCAGCTACTCAAAGCTGACTCCAGATGTCTGAGCAGCAACTACATGTTTCTCTAACTTTGGCAGGCCCAGTGCTCATGCTGAGATACAACACAAGTGCATTTTGAGAGCACAGAGATTTGCACACAATTAATTATATCCATTGGGGAACTGCCTTAATCTTGGGGGGAGACGGTCTAGTAACTTTCAGCAATAGAAATATACCCACCAAATGTTTCCTCCTCAAATACTGATGGCGAAGGACCAATGGTTTAAACAATAGCATCCAAGGTACACACAGTAGCGCCACCACTACCAGGAAACACTGAATTCCTTTCTGCAAAGTAAGAAGGACAAAGCACATCACATAAAAGTCCATTAACTCAAGTTTCCAAATCCAGCACAAATTTCTCCTCAAACAATACTTTCTTACTGATATATGAGTAAGACTGTCCAGTTTATCAAAATAATTATCAGAATTTGCAGCAAAGCCCAAGATTTGTCCCATATGATGGCAATTATTCATTGTACCCTTTCTGGATACAGAAATTACAGTGGTTCCTTCCAAGCTAAAGAGGATGGTCTGAATTTAGATATGGATATATATGGGCTAGAAACCAAATACTACAAAAAGGTTTTTGAAGACTTTTTTAGAGTGAGAGAAACATCTGGCTTCCCCACCTAAGGTAACTTTCTCAGGTAGCTTACCAAGAGGTTTACGTACCTGTCCAGAATATAGCATTGAATTATTAGACTCTGGGTAGGAAAAGAGGAACATGTTTATGAAATGGATCAGAAGGCTTGGTGCATTCTCAGACGTATGAGCATTATAGGCTGTCCACTTGTAAAAAATAAGGATAACCAAGTAGCCAAACAAGGAGGTCATGAAGATTATTTCAGGAATAAATCCAAAGTAGATATTTAGGGGTTTCTTGAAATAACTAAAAAGGGAGAGAGAAAAAATGTTAAGAGAGAACAGACCCAGGGCCACTCCTATAGTGAGTGGAGATTTTTCTACTTAACACTCCTTCAATTCTGTCTTTTATCACATTAAGACATAGTAGCCAGAAGCTGGAGGCAACAGAGACAATGTAGGATTACTCATCACTTTCAAACTTTTGGACTTTGAGTGGCTCCAGTGCCATCCCCCCATCATTTTCTCCATGAAAAAGAGAATGAAAAATTCTAGTACATTCTGAGGGCACAGTTCATAATTTTATGTGAGTTACACATCAAGAAAAAAAAGAACTGACTTGATGAGTGCTCAAGTTTTGTTCAAAGATCTTGTAACTATAATTTTTTTTTTTTTTTTGAGACAGAGTCTCATTATGTTGCCCTGGGTAGAGTGCCATGGCACCACAGCTCACAGCAACCTCAAACTCTTGAGTTAAGCAATTCTCTTGCTTTACTCCCAAGTAGCTGGGACTACATGTGCCCACCACAATGCCCAGCTATTTTTTTGGCTGCAGTTGTCACTGTTGTTTAGTAGGCCTGAGCTGAGCATGAACCTGCCAGTTTTGGTCTATGTGGCCGGTGCCCTACTCACTGAGCTATGGGCACCAGGCCCCATTTTTTTTTTTTTTTTGAGACAAAGTCCCAAAGCTAGAGTGCTCTGGCATCATCATAGCTCATAACCACCTCACACTCCTGATCCTCTTGCCTTAGCCTCCCAAGTAGCTAGGACTACAGGCATGCACTACCACACACAGCTAATTTTTCTATTTCTAGTAGAGACACGGTCTTGCTCTTGTTCAGGCTGGTTTCAAACTCCTGAGCTCAATCAACCCACCTGACTCAGCTTCCCAGAGTACTGGGATTACAGGCATGCACCACTGC